CAATGGACAGCGTCAAGAGTGCAGCAATTATTGTTATGATAGCAATGAAAGTTGAATAGATCACTCTGATCATTCGAGCATATTTCACTCATTAAATATCATTCCGTTTGAAACGGTAAGGTAAGTCGGTATCAGAATGAACCATCACGACTGCAGATATAACGTTAAGCCTAACTTCAGCCGGCCTTTACTCTAACATTAAGCTTAACTTCAACTCGCCTTTACTATAACGTTAAGCCTAATTTCGACCCGCCTAATCTACAACGCCAAGCCTAACCCCAAGCCTCCTGTATTATAGAGTTAAGCCTAACCTCAATCCGTCTACACATTTTTTCCTCCCCCCCCCCCAAGTCTAATGTACTTCTCTTAACAAAATAAAACTACTTTAATTGACGCATGCTTTCAGTAAGACGAGTATCTATTTACTTTGTTGACCTATAATGACAACTTTGAATGAACTTTGCTACTTAATCTTATATATATATTAACAAGGGGTTCTTTGCACTTAAGAATGTTTTTCACGAATAAAAAACTATGAAACAAATTCTGAAACTATGCATAAGATGAAGGAATTGTCTCATATAGCTCTAAATAATCAAAAATCTTAGTCACCTTGAAATGTTGTATGACAAAAAAACATGTCTTCAAGTAGAAATATTAGACGTTCGTGTAACTTGTGTTTGATAATCAGCGACTTGCAAGGGTCGTTATATTTGCGACAGAAAAATTATATTGTTTTATTTTTATAATCATACTCATGCACAGACAATATATAAAATAAAATTTACATTTAAACCAGTGAAAAGAAACCATTTTCAAACAATGATATAATATTAAAGTTAATAATGAATCTGTAAACAAAACATTGAGAGACTATCTTTTCCGACTGAGTTGATAAATTTCTGAAATTGAGATAGATCAGAAATCTTTCATTTAGGCATATATATGTATATCTGATCTTTCTGCTTGACCCATGAACCGGTACGAACAATCTCCACGTGTCATGTATAAAATAAACGTGGGGTTCTTCAGTTGGTTTTTAAAAATAAAACCACGTGCGTGCAGTCTCACTCCGCTGGCTATCTGACACAGACAGTTAACCCCATCTCAGGAACAGCAGACAGCAGCGAACTAAAAAAACAAACAAATTTAAGGATACCGTTTCGCTTGCTGTCCTTCCACTTGAATGTTATTATTAAATCTGTAAAAGTTAAGGATACCGTTTCGCTTGCTGTCCTTCCACTTGAATGTTATTATTAAATCTGTAAAAGTTAAGGATACCGTTTCGCTTGCTGTCCTTCCACTTGAATGTTGTTATTAAATCTGTAAAAGTTAAGGATACCGTTTCGCTTGCTGTCCTTCCACTTGAATGTTATTATTAAATCTGTAAAAGTTAAGGATACCGTTTCGCTTGCTGTCCTTCCACTTCAATGTTATTATTAAATCTGTAAATGTTAGCCAACTCTTTGACTGAAGCCATCAAATCAGCCACATCTTTTCGTCTGAAAACGTTATTATTAGCAAGCATTTATTGAGGTTTGTAATGTTAGTCAGATTTTTTTTTAATTTTATACTAAGGCCATATTGTTACCCAACTTTTTAACTAAAGCCATCGTCTTATTCAACTTGTTAAGTTGAAGCTATATTGTTAGCCAAATTTTAAACTGAAGCTATAATGTTAAGCAGATTTTTTAACTGAATGTGTATTATCAGCTAGGTTGTTTTTAACCGAAACTATACTGTTACTCAACTTTGTTAACTGAACATATATTGTAGGGCAATGTTTTAACTGAACATATATTGTAGGGCAATGTTTTAACTGAAAATATATTATGAGCCAGATTTCAATTGAAGCCATTTGTTAGCCAACTTTTAACTTAACCTACGTTTTAGCCAGTTTTCTCTCTCAATCCTTAATTGTTAGCCAACTTTTAACTTAACCTACGTTTTTAGCCAGTTTTCTCTCTCAATCCTTAATTGTTAGCCAATTTTTAACTTAACCTACGTTTTTAGCCAGTTTTCTCTCTCAATCCTTAATTGTTAGCCAACTTTTAACTTAACCTACGTTTTTAGCCAGTTTTCTCTCTCAATCCTTAATTGTTAGCCAACTTTTAACTTAACCTACGTTTTTAGCCAGTTTACTCTCTCAATCCTTAATTGTTAGCCAACTTTTGAAAAGTCGCAGTTTTCTTTATCTCTTCACGATCAACCAAGGTTTTTTCAGCAAATCAAAGAAATAAAATTAAAAAAACTGAATTTTGAATGATTTCCTGTGCTAACCAAATATGAATTTGTGTCAACATTTTCCTAGCATGCTCGTCTTTCATCTTACTCTGACTTCATGGAGAACGTCCAAGTTTTCGTAACTAATCGTATGAGTGATTAATGTCTGTGGCTTGAATCGAGTTGATGAGCTTCACATAATGGAGAAGTAGACACCCGCGCGCGTGTCCCATCGATACACGCATAAAAGCATTTTGAGATCACCCTTGCGTTATGCATGCGACTAATGGAGTTCTTCGTGAAGTTGAAGCCAGGAAGTTTCGTCTGCGTTAATTAACGAAAGGGATGGTATTAATAAGTATGTTCTCTACAGACTTAACTTTAGGACAGAAATTTAGACATCTCGTCAAAAACATCTTTTAAATAGGTATTAGTTTTAATTCAATGTCTTTTACAAGTTATCGAGCACAAATATGTATATATTTCCATATATTGTCTATAACTATATATAGCTTCCAGCTAAAACTTAGTATATTTGTTTCGAAATTCATATATATATATATATATATGTGTGTGTGTGTGTTTGTGTATTTAATGACAAAAATAAACAAACAAACAAAAAAGAGAGACTAAAAATCATTCAATTAGGCCTAACTTATCATACCCATATATATCAACACAGAAACAAACACGTTCAATTAGGCCTAACTTATCCCATATTTACATTAAATTTTCCTATCGAACAATAACAATTGTATCACACGAAACCACCGACTTTCAATTCCTACACTGTTTGTGGCGAACAAGGAGAATTTATCTCTCCCTACGCCATGCTCAAAAAGAATAAAAAAAACAAGCTGCAGGAGTCATGTACCACAACCATATTGTTTCCAGCGGAAGTGTGTGTTGATGTGTAACGTGTAGAGTGCTTAATTCGGATACGTATTCACTGTTCACATGTATATGTGTGTGAGGGGTGTGGTGTGGTGGGTGTTGGAGGTAAATATTGAGTAACAATTCAAACGTCATTAATGTACTACTTGGAATGAAATTAGGCATAGATAGACACGGGTTTTTTGTAGCGAGATTTGCATGTTTTGAATCAAAATCTCACAATATATAAAACACACTTTGTACTGTAAATCAAAGCTGAAATAGTTCGATTTTGTTCTATTTACCTGAGTATTCAGAGTGGTAAGAACATAAACCATAAAGCCAGATATTTTACATAACCTAACAAAAGAGTTGTTTTTATCGGAACTTTACTGATGTGTTGCTCCGATACCAACATAATGTGACACTATACAGTTTCACCAGTAGCGACGTCAGATGACAATTGTGAGTCTTTGTATAAGTGGCGTTTTAATCAATCAAATTCTTGAAAATATATGCAGGATCTTCGAAATTCGAAAACAAAAGATAAAAAACAATTCAACCGAAAGTCCTAAATGTTTTATAGCGAAAATCACATAATTAAAATATAAAGTTTAAATTCATACATGTTATTAACTAATTTTTTTGTTGTTAAAAACAATAAAACTTGCTTCAGTGTCTCTACCTAGCGGACCATACTTAAATGAGAGTCAACTCTCAAATCTTTCACTGTGTTACGACCGCGGAAGTCACGCGATCTGGGAGCATGCGCTCTGGAGTTTCTGAAAGGATCATGAATTTTCTTGGCAACTCTAGTTTGTTAGAGGCGCCTTCTTTTTTAGTATATAAGCCTGGCGAGAAAAACCAGCGCAACTCCATAGATAGATAGATATGCAGATAGCTTGAAGAGATAGATAATGGAGTCAAGCGAACAATAGGCACCGTAAGTAAAGTGTGTGAATCCCTGTGATTTAGAGCGTGTGTAATAAAGGTTGTTAAGTTTAAAGTGACTGTGGAAATTCTGTGTATTACAAAGTCGTATCGAGAAAGAATAAACTAGTTTTAATTAAGAAAGGATTTGTATCGCTGAAGTTCCTCGGAAAGAATTTAAACCGGAAATTAACAAACGAGCAGATACGTAACAACTGTTTTCAGACTACCAGAAGGTTAAATTTGAATCAGGACATATTTAGATCCTTCATTTACAATTTTTATAGTTGCGGACATTTGAATGTTTGCTATGAATATTTGTTCTTTTTCGATAAACTAGTGTTGTGAACTAGCTACTGGTTGTTATTTCTGCTAAGATCTCAAGGAAAAGTGAAAGTTGTTACTTTCCGCCTCAACTGTAAAACAACCACGAAACTTATTTTCAATTACCACCGTTTTAAACAAATAGTTTCATGTTATTGCATTTTTTGCTAAGCCTGTTAATGTTTAGTTGGCTGTAATTTCTTCATCTGTTTAATTTCATTTTGTATAATTCGAAACGTCCAATAGAATTTAGCTTATCATACATCTTGACTAAATTACGTTTACTAACATAAGAATTATTCTTTAATCATGTAATATTTTAATGTTTTTACAGTTCGATAAAAAGGAATTGTGTTGAATATTTGGCTATTTGATGCCTATTTACGTGTATTATATTAACACACACACACACACATATATATATATATATATATTCGATAAAATATTCGTTCAGTAGGTTTGCAGATCACAAAGCAAGTTGTAGTTGAAAACACAACCTGTAGTGTACAGAAGAGAAGCCCGCGAAATTTGTCTTTACAACAATGTAACCAATCATTGAAACCCAACGCTCGCGTGACCTACTTACTCTCGCTCTAGAACAGATGACGAGACTAAACGAGATTATAGGAGACTGCAGAACCGTGTGGTGCCAGACGATCGCTGCGAAACAAGCAGTGTTAGTATGAAGTAGTTAGTGGTAGGTTAAGCGAGTTGTGGATGGTGGGTCGTGAATCTTTTGGGTTAGTGACGTGTAGAGTGACTATGGAAAATGAAACAAGTAGTCCGTGTAAGCAAACTACATCTGACATCTCGTGCCTCTATCCAGAAATCCTAGCCCTGATTTTCAGCTATCTAAATGTACGGGACAAGGGACGCGCAGCGCAAGTTTGTGCAGCCTGGCGGGAGGCGGCGTATCATAAGTCCGTTTGGCGTGGGGTTCGGGCTCGGCTTCACCTAAGACGTGCCAATCCTTCTTTGTTCCCGAGTTTAGTTCGCCGAGGTATCCGTCGAATACAAGTTCTTAGTTTGCGAAGAAGTCTTCGAGACGTTGTGTTAGGTGTGCCGAACCTGAAGTCTTTAAATTTAATGGGGTGCTACAACTTGAGCGACCCGTGGGTCAGCCACGCCCTGGTTCACGATATGCCAGCCCTGACAGAGTTGAATCTCAGCATGTGTAAACAGATCACGGACTCCAGCTTGGGGCGTATTGCTCAACACCTACAGTACTTGGAATATTTAGATCTGGCTGGCTGCTGTAACATTACGAACACTGGCTTACTTCTCGTGGCCTGGGGACTCAGGCGACTTCGTAGTCTGAACTTGCGCAGCCTTCGACATGTATCAGACACAGGAATTGGTCATTTGGCCGGTTTGACTCCGGAAGCCGTTGATGGAACCGTGGCTTTGGAACATTTGGGACTTCAGGACTGCCAGAAACTCACGGACGTTGCCCTCAGGCACGTGAGTCTTGGCCTTCATCAGCTCAAGAGCATCAATCTAAGTTTTTGTGCTAGCGTTACAGATTCGGGCCTCAAATACCTAGCGCGGATGTCCGAGCTCCGCGAACTGAACCTCAGTAGCTGCGACAACATCACAGATCTAGGCATGATTTACTTGGCCGAAGGGGGCTCGCGATTAACATCTCTGGACGTCAGTTTCTGTGACAAGGTGGGGGATCAAGGCCTCCTGCACATCTCTCAAGGTCTCTTCAATCTACAAAGCCTGAGTCTTAACGCTTGTCCCATCAGTGACGAAGGTGTGAGCCGTATTGCTCGCACGTTGTCAGACCTGCAGTCCTTAAACATTGGTCAGTGCTCGCGCGTGACAGATAAGGGTCTTAGTCTCATTGCAGACCGTTTTCACCAACTCCACAGTATTGACCTTTACGGGTGTACTAAAATCACTACAGTGGGGCTAGAAAAGGTCATGCAACTTCCGTGTCTTTCTGTCTTGAACCTAGGACTGTGGCGAAAAGAAGACACCCGACTCAGCCAGAGCCGTAGCAAGGATCCTGGGGTTAGACTCCCCTGTGTCTCTGAACCTCCCGCTGCTTACTAATATTAATAACGCTACTGACAATTTTGTTGAGTTATATCACACTCGTTAACTGTTAAAGAAGATATTTAAACAGGGCTATCTTTGCTTGAATGTAGGTGGTCGTCATGTCGGTTTCTACGACGACACACGAAAGCAAAGAACAGGGAAGGTTGGCAAGTTGGGTTAAACAATGTATTAATTTTTATTTAGTTCGTAGCCTCGTCGGGAACACTCTGAAACTCTGCCAAATCATCTAGTTTAGATTACTAACATAGGTAAGGATACAACTATAGTAATAACTCGATCGTGATTTCATCTTCCAGTTCAATGTTTATGAAAGCAAACTTATCACCCCTTTCTTCATAATCGACTTTTCTCTATACACAATACTGTTGGAAAGTCTTATTATAAATATTTATCAATTGTTGTATTTCACAATCTTAATACTGTTGTAATGACAGGTGACGTTATTATTTCGTGTGAACATGTTATTTAATACAGTATTGTTTTAAGTTTTTACTATGTAAAGACCTGGAAATTTTTCTAATAAACGAGTAAAAGGCTTGCTTAATACATAATGAAAGTGAAGATTAAAAATCAATTTACTTATTATTATTATTTGTTGGCTACAAATGAATCTTACAGCTTTATTTTTCATTGTTATAAGTTATATACATTTTCGTGTGCCTCTTCCGTCTCCCGTATATCTTGACATAGCGCAGTTCCCGTATCCCTACGCCAGTGAGACCAGCAGTGATATTTAGATGTTTATATATATTGTGTATATAAAGTTAAATAAACGCGTTCCAATATAGCAGTATTTACCTAAGCCTAGCGTTATGATCCGAACATATATATATATTTGTTTTACTCCTAGCCTGCGGTAAGTTTATAGACTGAGAACGCTAAAATCCAGAATAAGATTCACTGGTTGTAGAGAGCGCACATGGCATCTTATGTAGCTTTGCGCTAAAACAAAGAAACCAAACCTCTACTAAGCCTAATGTAAGTAACTTACTGACACATGTATTGTTTTAAAAAAATCCTGCTGCTAACTAGTGATATCTAAAATCAATCGTTTGACTGTCTGTCTCTAAGTGTCGTTAACAATGATGGTGCCACACTGAGGAAACAGAACATTATAACAATTGTAAGTAATATACTTCATTTCTAGGTGTATATTTTGAATTGTGATATATTTAGGTAACTTTGATCAAAATTATTATTGTTTAAATTCAACAACATCTCAAGTAAACACAGTTTTATAGAAAAGACTTATAATATTATGTAGTATTGTTGACAGTATATGGAACAACAAAATGTGTTAGTCAAAAGTGGCTTTTTGTTTTCCTTTTTTTTTTATAATTACAAGCATCTACACATACTATTACACGCACCCACAAAAAGAAACTGATAAACTTTTGTTAAATGGTTTCAACTCAAGTCGCTTCTAATAACATGTCACATTTTAGTAAAACATCGTAACTTCTACTTGAGTAGCCAACACTAGGACCTGGGCTGTAAGATTTGAATCAGGTTAGCGACATCTGTAGGGCAGATGATAATGAATAATTAAAAGTTCTCCATCAAGCCTAATAAGTTCGAAAGACTACATGTTTGTAATGAACTATGGCTATATAAAACCACGAAAAATACAGTTTTTAAGATTAGTACTGTGCAGTGGCGGAACAAGAAATGTGAGGGACGGGCCCCCTGAGAAAACTTTCGCCTATGGTTGGATGCCAGAAGAATTCTTATGTCGGAACAATGTTTTGTATGAACAAGAGTAGTTGGAGTAGTACGGGTGAGGATATGAACGTATTGATTTAACATTCTGCAGGAGAAGGGAACTGAATCTCGAGTTTTGTGTTTCGTAATACTTTTACTTCACTTTATTGTCAGTACATACTGTCACGTGTTTATTGTTTTTGTTTGTAACACTATATTAATGTTAGTACATACTGTCACGTGTTTATTGTTTTTATTTGTAACACTATATTAATGTCAGTACATACTGTCACGTGTTTATTGTTTTTGTTTGTAACACTATATTAATGTTAGTACATACTGTCACGTGTTTATTGTACTAGTTTGTAACACTATATTATTGTCAGTACATACTGTCACGTGTTCATTGTTTTTGTTTATAACACTATATTAATGTTAGTACATACTGTCACGTGTTTATTGTTTTTGTTTATAACACTATATTATTGTCAGTACATACTGTCACGTGTTTATTGTACTAGTTTGTAACACTATATTAATGTCAGTACATACTGTCACGTGTTTATTGTACCAGTCTGTAGCACTATATTAATGTCAGTACATACTGTCACGTGTTTATTGTTTTTGTTTGTAACACTTTATTATTGTCAGTACATACTGTCACGTGTTTATTGTTTTTGTTTATAACACTATATTATTGTCAGTACATACTGTCACGTGTTTATTGTACTAGTTTGTAACACTATATTATTGTCAGTACATACTGTCACGTGTTCATTGTTTTTGTTTATAACACTATATTAATGTTAGTACATACTGTCACGTGTTCATTGTACTAGTTTGTAACACTATATTATTGTCAGTACATACTGTCACGTGTTCATTGTTTTTGTTTATAACACTATATTAATGTTAGTACATACTGTCACGTGTTTATTGTTTTTGTTTATAACACTATATTATTGTCAGTACATACTGTCACGAGTTTATTGTTCTAGTTTGTAACACTATATTAATGTCAGTACATACCGTCACGTGTTTATTGTTCTAGTTTATAACTATATTAATGTCAGTACATACTGTCACGTGTTTATTGTTCTAGTTTGTAACACACGCTTAAGTAAGTCTTAATTTGGACAAACTGCCAAATGATTATTGTTGTGTTCCTAACTTACTGTTTTATGTGTATTTCCAAATGTTTTAACTTCATTTTTTGTTAAGGAGAATACGTAGAAGGAGACTTCTAATTGGAGATATATATATATATCCAAGCTGTTTTAGAGTATTAAAGAAGCGAAGTGTCTCTTTAAGTATTTCTAACCACTATATCGATTTAAGGAACAGTTAGTTACTTAATGATAATGTACATATATAGATATATATTGATTATTAAATTCAACTGTGTAATATGAATATTCTATGTTTTTTCACGCTTCTAATAAACCATGACTCTTAAGTAATTTTTGATTTTGGTTGTAATCTATAAGTAAAGTGAATGAACCTACCCCTACCCCCTTACTGTCACGCGCGTGTGTGTGTTGAGGGGGTAGGAGTTCATAGTTCTGGATCTCCTGTAGTATAGCCTGGTTTGTTTGTGGTGGTTCGTAGTTTCGGAACCGCTGCACTGTGGCTTGATTTGTTTGTGGGTCTGTAGGAGAGGGGGTTCGTAGTTCTAGAATCCTCTGTACTGTGGCGTGGTCTATGGGGGAGGGGGTTCGTAGTTCTAGAATCCTCTGTACTGTGGCGTGGTCTCTGGGGGAGGGGGTTTGTAGTTCTAGAATCCTCTGTACTGTGGCGTGGTCTGTGGAGGAGGGGTTCGTAGTTCTAGAATCCTCTGTACTGTGGCGTGGTCTATGGGGAGGGGGTTTGTAGTTCTAGAATCCTCTGTACTGTTCCATAGTTCTGGTAAGTGTAATTTATCTAATCGTAGTTGTTTCATGTAATGATGATGTAAATGATGTAGATGATGTAAATAAGACAAATTTATTCATTGTTTCACGTGTAGCTTAACCGTAAGTCTCGGGCGGCTTGCGCTGTTCTCGAAATTCAGTCGGCGAGCCTAACCACGGAACATCTGGTGTCTGGAGATCTTATCGTATCTATTGTGAAGATTTGTTTTTGTGTTTCTAATGCCTCTTTGCTCTACAGATATAGTTCTGGGAATGAATTCGAAAACTAGCTCTAATTGGGTCACAATTTGAAGAAACGTGAAGTGTCCCTTCTTGACTGGCAGCAGAAACCTAGCCTGAGAGAAAATATAAATACTTCATTCAAAGAAACACAGATCGAGGAGGAAGATATATCTGATATGCATGTATCCAGTCTCGTAGCTAATTCACTGATCTTACAGTGAGAAACTATAATCGTTGTAACAGTTAACAGTAGACTACCGATCTCTGTAAAAGTCTTGTAACAGTAAACTATCGATCTCTGTAAAAGTGTTGCAACAGTTAACAGTAGACTACCGATCTCTGTAAAAGTGTTGTAACAGTTAACAGTAAACTATCGATCTCTGTAAAAGTCTTTTAACAGTAAACTATCGATCTCTGTAAAAGTGTTGTAACAGTTAACAGTAGACTATCGATCTCTGTAAAAGTCTTGTAACAGTTAACAGTAGACTACCGATCTCTGTAAATGTGTTGCAACAGTTAACAGTAAACTATCGATCTCTGTAAAAGTCTTGTAACAGTTAACAGTAAACTATCGATCTCTCTAAAAGTGTTGCAACAGCACTTTTACAGAGATCGATAGTTTACTGTTAACTGTTACAACACTTTTACAGAGATCGATAGTTTACTGTTAATAGCAACAGTTAACAGTAAACTATCGATCTCTGTAAAAGTGTTGTAACAGTAAACTATCGATCTCTGTAAAAGTGTTGCAACAGTTAACAGTAAACTATCGATCTCTGTAAAAGTGTTGCAACAGTTAACAGTAAACTATCGATCTCTGTAAAAGCGTTGTAAAAGTTAACAGTCTTTGTTGTATATTGGTTAACACTGTACTGGTGATGGTGCTGGAAGCACGACACCGTTGTTTATACTGTCGTGTCAAGGTTCTGGATGTGAAACTGTAAGGGACGAACCAAACACTTCAGTAGTGAATTATTTCTGATTTTCCTCAGAACTCCGAAGTCTTAATGCATGATGAAAATTTGTATTCATCACTTGTTGTTTTTGTTACCAGTATGTCGACTTTTATGTAGAGTCTTAAACTCGCACGCAGAGGATGCTAACATTCCAGAGAAATGCATACAATCAGCTGTAGGAAAATATAAATACACCATACTGTGTGAAGAAACAGAACAATTATTTAGGACGTGTCAAAACAGGAAAATATAAATACACCATACTGTGTGAAGAAACAGAACAATTATTTAGGACGTGTCAAAACAGGAAAATATAAATACACCGTACTGTGTGAAGAAACAGAACAATTATTTTGGACTTGTCAAAACAGGAAAATATAAATACACCGTATTGTGTGAAGAAACAGAACAATTATTTAGGACGTGTCAAAACAGGAAAACATAAATACACCGTACTGTGTGAAGAAACAGAACAATTATTTAGGACGTGTCAAAACAGGAAAATATAAATACACCGTATTGTGTGAAGAAACAGAACAGTTAATTAGGACGTATCAAACAGGAAAATATAAATACACCACACTGTGTGAAGAAACAGAACAATTATTTAGGACGTGTCAAACAGGAAAATATAAATACACCGTATTGTGTGAAGAAACAGAACAGTTAATTAGGACTTGTCAAAACTAATGACTGGCGATTTGATAGGTACTGTTTATTTATATGTATATATATATTTTATTGTCTTGTAAACCTAAATTTTCTTTATAAAAGTTACATGTTTATCAAGTGCTCTGTTCTGTCATTTCTCTTCCAGCAACAGTATGTATATGTTGTTTGGTAATGCTTCATTGTTAGTGGACTTGTTTCTTCAGATCACTTGTTTCAGAAAATCAAGGGTTAACTAAACGTCGTTGCGCTATATCGTACAGTTTTCTGCTGTTTGCTCCAATCCTTTAATTACTTTTCATCGTTTTCTAGGGAGTGGTGTGCCGGCCGGAGAATCCGGAAATCTGTGGTTCGCGTCCTGCTGCCGCAAGATCGCGCTTGACGATTTGGGGCCATGGGCTCGTTATAAAAGTGATAGTGACATCCCACTATTGCATTAGAGTAAACCCAAGAGTTGTGGGCTAGCTTACGTCCCTATTAGTCTAACAGTTCAAATGTAAAGGCTCCTTGTGTAGCTTTGCACAGATATCACCCACAGTCTTCATCTTGTTCCATAGCTTCGATTGGACTGATTTTCCCTCGTTCATCTCATTTTTGTGATTTGATGCGCATGCGCACATAGATTGTTCATGATATAGAAGAGTACGAGCATAACTTCAGATTAAAAAAAAGTTTGATAACAGGGACATAGCCAATACTACAGGACATAACTAGCACTACAGGGACATAACCAGTACTACAAGGACATAGCCAATACTACAGGACATAACCAATACTACAGGGACATAACTAGCACTACAGGGACATAACCAGTACTACAAGGACATAGCCAGTACTACAGGACATAACCAGTACTACAGGGACATAACTAGCACTACAGGGACATAACCAGTACTACAAGGACATAGCCAGTACTACAGGACATAACCAATACTACAGGGACATAACTAGCACTACAGGGACATAACCAGTACTGTAGGGACATAACCAGTACT